CTTAAGCCTAATAAAAGTAAATTAAGCCACCATTTGTTTTGAATCTAGAAAATCATGTATTGGATTTGCGTGAGAAGGCTTTGACAGTGGGTGGGAGGGACAGGGGTGGCTTCTTTGAGGAAGAAAAAAAAAATCTGTTCAGTTGTGTCCTGGTTCTGACCAAGACAGGATTAATGTTTGCAGTAACTGGGAGGCAGCATTACTAGGATGGGAAGGTTATTCTATTCCACCTCGCCTTATTGCTGGGGTGGAAAAAGGGGGATTCTGAGGAGAAGGGGCTTCTTCCTAATAAGCAAGCCTGGCACTGGTCAGGTTCCATGAGCATTTTCCATGTGAAATCACTCTTCAAGAAACAGTTTTGTTGTTAATATTGTTGCTGTTACTGTTCCTTTTGTTATCTTATGGCTGTTCCCAGTAAATTGTTCTCATCTTAACCTGTTATCTTTGCCTTTTGTGCCTCCAATTCTCCTCTCTGGCCACCCAAGTAGTAGGGGAGGTGACCCAGTGTGGTTTGGAGAGTCTCAGTGGGAGAACTAAATCAAGGAGGACCACAACAAATAGCAGATGAAGAGAGGGGTGGGAATATGTGAGAGACACAGGTCTGCAGAAACCAGGGTCAGTAAAGGAGAGGGAGGAAGTGCTCCAGGAACTGGAGCTGAATGAAGTTACCCTGCAGCCCATGGTGCAGACCATGGTGAGTTGTGTCCCTGCACCCTGCAGAGTCCCACAGGGAAACCAGAGATTCACCTACAGCCCAGACAGAGTCCCGTGCTGGAGCATGTAGGCGCACAAATGAGGCTGTGACACTGCAATAAGCCCACGCTGGAGCAGGCTGCTGGCAGGACCTGTGCACCCATGGAGAGAAGAGTTCACACTGGAGCAGGTTATGCCTTGTGACCCCCTGCAAGGCACAGCAGCCTGTTCCAGAAGGATTGCACCCCATAGAAGGGACCTATGCTTATGTGGGAAGGACCCACACTTGAAAAGTTCATGGAGATCTGTTTCCCTGGGAAGGGCCCCACACTGGAGCAAAGGAAGGGTGTGAGTAGTCCTTCCCCTGAGGAGGAAGGATTGTCAGGGAACATGTAATGACTGTAGTATCCATGCCCCATCCTCCTGCATCACTGGAGGTGATGAGAGAGAGCAAATTTGGAGTGAAATAGAACCTGGGAAGAAGGACAGGATGGGGGGAAATGTGTTTTTAAAATTTAGCTCTATTCCTCATTACTCTGATTTGATTGGTAATAAATTAAACTTATTTCCCCCAGCAGAGTCTGTTTTGCTTGTGATGGTACTTGGTGAGTGATTTCTTCCTACCTTTATCTCATCCTTTAAGCCTTTTATTGTATTTTCTTCCCCCTACCCAGCTGAGAAGGGGAATGACCAGAACCATTTTGGCCTGGCATCTTTCTTACCACGAATGGCAAATGACATCTCCAAAGAATTGCTAAACAATTGACAACAGCCAAGCTAACAAAGATACTCAAATAGTGTCAGGCAGACAATGAGGGGCAAAACACAGGTTTCTACAGCTCTTTCCAAGCCCACTTGGAGACAAATTCTGCAACCAAATGTTTTGCATGCAGTTTTTTTTACAATAAAGGACATTTTATGCACACAAACATGGACTGCAGCACGTATACCTATACTAAGAGTAAATAACAGACTGTTAAGTTCAATATCAAAGTGGCAGAGATGACTGAGTCATATAGAAGGCACCTGGATGTCACAAGGGTGAGGATTATCGCATCCATCAAGGTAATAAACTAGAGATTTTTTCAAATCAAAATGGGATTTTTCCCCCCTCTCACTAAAAGAGAGACCCCCTCTTTTCTTACTGCCTAGCCTAAGCAAGCCACTAAAAATAAAAAAGAAGCAAGTTTCCCAAAAAAACATACTCACTAAGATGAAGCACTCTAGGAAAACTATATGGCATGGACTTTGATCAGATGACCTCCAAAGGTGTTTTCTAACTTACTGTATCATTTTATTGAAAACAAGGATCAAAAACTACCATACTAAAACCTGGAGAGCAGCCTAACTGCTGCTCCAGATGAAGGCAAAGCAATGTTGCTATTGTAGTTCTAGTATGGGCAGCAAATCACCTTCACATCCACAAACCTGACATCACTGAAAGAGGCTTTCATTACAGTAGCTAGCCTCTGATTAATTCTCTTAGGTATTTAATTCCTACTCTTGAAGTGCACAAAGCTTCTCAAGTATGATGTGCAATATTCTGCACTCTTATCTGATCAAGAGGATTATTAGCAATCCTGAAATCCACAGCTCTGTACACATAAGAGAAAGCAATTTCCATTTTCTCCCTACTTTGTGGCCAAGTGCTTGTAGTCCTTTTTATACCAAGTTACAAGTTCTTTCTCAAATAAGAATTCAGCTCACTAAAACCAAACTATATTAATTATTACTGAAGTCATACCTGCATCTTGTTCATGAGAAAACAAACAGAAGGCAGAAGGTAGAAAATAAACAGAACACTCCTGCATGCCCAAAATTTTATCTTCACAAACTGAAGAAAAAAACCATATCTTTTTTGTTATTTCTGTCACAGAAACTTGTACAATTAAAGCAAAGGGTTAAAGAACTAAATATTCCCCAAGAGTTCAAGTCACTGCACATAAATACTGTTATGACTACAGATTGCAGAAGAACGGAAACAGTAAATCATCCCATTTTTTCTGAGAAATTCTGGGACTATGTTCTGAATTTCCAGGAACAAAAGACAAATACTGCCAATTCTCACTGCCGGATTTTTATTGAAGAGTTCAAGAATTTGGAAAGGACTCCTGAAAGCCAGTATTGATTTTTTTTTTTATTTATTTTTTTTAAACAGAGCTAGGGGTTGTTTCTAGGAGAGTGCGCTCGAGTGTGACAGGTTTATGTGCTAACTCCTGAGAAAGTTAAAAGAAAAAGAAGAAAAACGCTCTTAAACAAGACCTGAAAGGTTCTGAAAGCAGTAAACCTTGCAAACAAAGAGCCTAGTAAGAAAGTCAGATGTCTACATCTTGCCCATCTCTCCAAAAACATTAAAAAAAATTAGGAAAGGTGGATTGGCAGCAAGACATTCTAAAGGATATTCTGTAGGGCATACTCACTTATCCAAGTTCTCATTTTTCTTGCCTTGAACATAATCCCAACCTCCAATGTGTCAATTTATTCTAATACTGAATTTCCAGCACTAAGGTCCTGACCTTGGGATCTGTGGAACTGTGCCCTTGATAGCTTTTCATTACATTAAGTAAGAAAATGTGCTGAAAAAATAGAATATTTCTTTACACTCTAATCTAGAGCATATTTAGTTTAACCTTCTTTCAGCCCTTAACCAACAAAATGCTTTCACTGCAGCCAAATTTGAAAGACAAGTTGATGAAAGCTCCTAAGTCAGATTTAGTAGGGGTGGAAAAACAGATGTTCAGGGTTTTTTTAATGCAAACTTCAGCTCTGACAGAAGGCACAGTAGTTGTGAATGGGCTTCCATAGCTAGTCCTCAAACTGGTTATAAGCACTTAGGGAAGTTAATACACAGTAAGCTTTGACCAAAAATAACTGAGTCACTTTCCCACCATCTTAAGTCACCCCATGTTGCTCTGACACTTCCAGTCTGCTGGCTGCCCCAGATTAAAGCAGATTATCTACCACATTTGTCAGAGAAAGGGAAGTGCCAATGAAAATCCACATTTTTACTTCCTATGGAACCACTAAAGACACTGTTTTCACAGGAGAGATTGACAGTCACTTAAAAAATTTGCAGCTCAAAAATGACTGCCTAGAATGTCAAGTTTCTCTTACACAGCTCTCCTTTCCCTCAGCTTCACATCATGACTCAGATGATGCTCTAAATGAATTGGAAGCATAATTTCACAGTGCATCAAAATTATGAAGTCCAGGCACATCTATTCACATATTCTTTTAAACTCATAGATCCAAGTATAGTAACAGATTTTCAGGACATCCAATTTCTCAAAGTCCAGTCTATTTTTATAGCTGCAAAAGAAGCTATAAAAGAACTGTTATGTTTTTCCTGTTATTGGGAAAAGCATTCAGGTACATTCAGCTGACAACTCAGCATATGCTAACATTACACATTTAACTAATTAGAGGTTTCCTGTTGGAGAAAAAATTGTAAGTTGACATATTACACAACATGTATGAATCCTAATCCTAAAGAGATTTTTTGGAAATTTTGTTTTTATCTGTTTTTTTTTCTTTTTTTCCAAATGAGTAGCAGGACTGTAGTAATCACTACTAGCAATGTTTCTCTTGGGACAAAAGGAAAAGGTTTTAATGTCACATGACACTGTTTAATTATTTGTGTATCTGCAGGGTCCAAAATCATAACTAAAGCCTCAGGATAGTAATCATATTATGAAAACAGAAGATAAAAAGTGCAAAGAAAAGATCATATCCAAACTAGCAATTTACATTTTCATAAAAAATACAAAGTAAGCATTCTGCCAACTAAAACTGCCCAGGGAAAAAAGAAAACTTTCACATGCATTTTTATTGAGTATCTTTGAATTTAACTGATGGTTTTTTAAAATATACTCTTGTAATATGCCATATTGGCTGCTTAGATACAGCACAATGACTCAAAAAATATAGGAACTAACCAAACGTAAAAAATCTCTGCCTTTGTTCCTACAAATACAACATTCTGCAAACTGATACGTTTTGGTGCAAGACATTTCATTGGTATCGTAGCTTGCCACCTTTTCTTTGGAAACAAGTGCCTTTTCCCAAATAGGAAATGGCTATTTTAAAGACAAATATCAAATCCGTATATATTAATGACCCAGCTTTTTTCAGCAGCAGAACTTGAATACAGGATGGTAACAGAGGCTGTTTCCTAAATGTTAGCAAAACCCAGAGAATTGCCAAACAGCTATTAGCAGTTTGATGAAAAGTTTGAATGCACAATCAATCACCACCACACAGCAATATGATGCTACAAGCTGACACAAACATGCAATTTCACAACTTACTATCCGATAAGGAAGACGTAAAAAGGAGTCTGGGCAGCCAGCTAAAGCCATTTGTTCCTTCAAATTTTCTTCAAATTACATCTACTGCTTCCCAGCACCTGCAGAGTACAAACAAACTGTCAGAAACCATACTGAAGACATTTCATCAACTTGTTATTCAAAACAGTTGGAGGAGAAAGACCAAGATGATCAAGATGAGGTGATGAGGATTTGCACCAATGTGAAGTAGAAAATGTGCACATTTGCTGCCTGTAGCCTAGCAAACACATTCAATTTGATATTTAATTTAAAAGTACAACATAACTAATTCCCAGGCTTTGTGGCTCCTGCTTTATTTCCACTCTTTAGGCAAAAATGAAGGCCTCCCTTCACAGGGAACCTAGCCATTTGAAAATTGGCTCTCACTACCTGAGGCTATGTTTTCAACTGTGGAAAGAAAACACTGAAATCTCTGAGTTAATTAAGATGACAGTCACTTAACACAGAATCATTTAAGCTGTAAAAAAGTGGCAAGATCACCAAGATCATTATGCAGCACCAGCCTTCAATGCCTGGCTACACAACTTCTAACCTTCATCCCTTCCGGCCTGCCTTTTCCCCCATGGTTTCATTCTCACACAATATATCAAACAGAGTGTTACAAATTCATTCAAGTCTTGCACTTGCTCTTCTGAGTGAATATTAGCAGTAACTTTGCAAAGTTAAGTTGTGTTTTTTTTAAAACATCACTTTGTGCCCAAATAGAGCCTGAAAATGAATCTGAAAACATTTAGAGGTACATATGGCTAAAGAACTAAAGATAAGGCAGGACAATGTCAAGAAAGTTATTATAACTGTCTCATAACAAAGGAAACAAAAATAAACCTAAATAAATAAATAAAGCACTATTTGCTGCTCCGGTATTTCTTCCTACCAGTGTGGACACATCTCTGCAGTGTAAGACAAGCAATGCCACCTCCAAGTATATGAAAAAGGCATGACTGGGGAAGAGAAAGCAGGCTGCACAGCACAGTCAGAGCTTTTACTTCTACCACAAGCAAGCTCCCTTCTGGTTTGCTGTTAATTATCAATTATGTGTTCAAAACAAAAGACCAAGTTTTAAACAGGCTACCCACTGCTCTCTGGTAGGCACGAACTGTCACCAAACCAAAGCTGCCAGCAAAATTTATGTGACAGTTAAGTGAGGGACAAGGGTAGAAAAACATCTTGGACAAGCTGTTCCCAGACAACTTCGCAGCTATGGCCCATAAGCCATGCACTCATCAAGGAAGCTTTACTTTACCTAGTTCCAGGATGAGTTTGGCTGAAGTATGGTAGCCTCCTCCTCTGTCAGTAAGGTAGGCAAACTCCCAGGCTTCTGCAGTGATCGGTTCATACAGCCAATTACCCCAGGAGGAAACTCGTTTTGGCAATAGCAAGTCTGAAAATCCATTTAACCAAATATGCACAAATCTGGTTGTTTATTCTAGGTACATAAATACTATAGGAAAAAAAAATTAAACCCAAACTCTTACAGGATTCAAAGGCGGGGGGGAAGCAACATCAAGCATCTAACTCTGTAGGCAGTTTACTCAACTTGCACTATTGCTAGTCTTTAAATATATAAACAGTGGTCTACAGCCTTCTAACTACTTCTCCACACCTGAAAGTGTGCAGTCAGTTTTAAAGATTGATTTGAAGATTTCACTTTAATCACACAGTTTGTTCCAGGTGAATTAAGCACAGATTTAAGAAAAGCTCTTAAAAATCTTTTCATTTAGGAGAATAACATTTTCTTGTCTTTCTTGTAAGCACATCTACAGAGAAATTAAGCAAGCCACTGAAATAGCTGCTATGAAGCTGGGAAAATACACCAAGAATAAAGAGAACTGTATTATTAGCCTCTAAGCCCACCAAGACTAAAGAAAGTTTACATAAAGGGATAAGAGAAAATAATTGAGCTTTATACTGCAAAAGTTTTACATTTATTATCACTACAGTATTTAGACGTCAGGAAAAGGCACAACTGCTGCAAATTTAATGATAGGTAATTTAGGACTGAATATCATAATACTGGTCTTTTGACGTTTCAGCAAAAGGCTCCAATTCACTTATAGCAAGATAGATTAAATATGTTCCTAAACAATACCAGACCAATTTGTCTACTCTAGGGTGTGCTGCAGTTTATGCCACAGCCCTATTACACCAGTAGATGATCATAAATTACCTCAAACAATAGTTGGAGTCAAGACTGCATAATTTATCAAGAACTATTTGCTTCACTACTACATTCTTGAGCATTCATTTGTTAACACTGCAGAAACAGAGGAAAGTAATAATCTTTAGATGGTATCATTCCTGCTCAGTCACACACTAAGACTGATTTAAGAGCTCATCTCTTTTATCTGTCTAAAAACAGTTTATCAACCTAGTCCTACCCCAGGAATACAAAAAGCCTTTGCTCACCTTTAAGACTTAAGGTCCTTTGTACCACATCAACAAGTAATAAATTTCATAGGGACAGAACTCTACACCAATTCACATGGTCAGTAGATAAATATAAGAACTTAGAAACAGATCAATTTTTCCTGTGCTGTTGTCTTTAAGCATGATATTTAGTGTGTCACTTTTCATCAAAGACTGTAGCTACACACAGTTCTTTCCATGCAATTTACACAGCACAAATTGCAAAGAAGTATTCAAGTGCCAAAATTTACCTTTTCTTAAAATGCCTTAGATGGGGGAGAGAAATTCCAAAGGACTGTAAATAGGAAATAAACTATGTAGTTGATCACCGTTACAAGACTCAGAACATTCAGTGGTGAGAACAACTGTCATGCAGCATCAAGCATGACAGCCTGTGCACATTCAGAACCAAGCGATTTCCTGTGCTTTTATTGGCTACAGAGCTCTGCCCTGGACAGAGGCTCTGAAATAACAACAGTCGTGATAAACTACATTTCAAAAGTCTAATTTTGAAAAGACTCATTTCTGGCATGACGTTTTCCAGAATAAAGAATGGACTATTGTGAAGCATAGCTTTGATGTCTCAGCCTCTCAAAAGCATTAAACAAACTCACACAATCTAAAAGATTTATATTAATCCTGTATTGAAAACACTGTATGTATGCACCCTGGAGATTGTCACTGCTCTGAATGGATTGTTTAAGTCACAATCAAATTACTCAGATAACCAGCAGATTATGTTATCTATTAACTGCAAATTAAGCCCATCACCAGGTATGTTTTTCTGATTTATCACTTATCTGCACATTCCCAGCAGAGGAAATGGTATTTCGCCCAGTGCTCTGGAAGCAGACACAGCCTACGCACCTACAGATACTGTGGTGGGAAAATGGCAGGGGTATGGTCACTCTGCCAATTCAGGAAGTTTTCCAGGTTCTACATGTGCCATCTGTCAAAGTCTTTAAATTCAAGAGAAAAATAATTTTAAAAACGCAATTGCTTGCAGATTAGTTAGGAACAGGAGGAGGAGGAGGAAAAAAAAGAAAAGGATTTTAACCTGGCAGAGTTGCAAGACAAGCTCCAGAGCTCTTGAAAACTGGATTTATGCTCTTTTAGGAAAGGTAACTTAACAAATTTATTGAATTTTATACACTTTCAAGTATTTCATCATTTTTCTTCTATAATGTTCTGCTTTCTATAGCTGAACTACTGTGAAAGAGGGAAGGGGAAAAACCTTCAACATAGCCTTAATTTTGACCTGAAGACCTTTATCTAAGACCTCAGGTTTTACACAGAAGTTAAAAACCTTCCCCCCCACCCCTCTTTAATGTGTATTTTTTATTCTCTCAGACACTAAGTATCACTATTCCATTTCTCCCCACAATACTGAATGAGGTTTAGCAGACCAAACTTGGATTTTCCTAAGAAACTGGAACAAGATTTTAAACCTGAATCAATACAATATTCTCCCCTAACTTACCTTCAGGACTGCCTGAGTTAAGTCTACCAGACTTAAAATTTAGCATCTTGAAGACCCAGGGAGAAAAAGATTCTCTCTTCTTCGTCTACACAAGGAACAATCTCCAAGACTTCAACTGGCTGTTCTCCTGGCTGTAGGCTTCCCACTACTTCATATCATCTAGGAAAGTGTTCTGGTTTTTTTCTGCACACGTGTGTGTACATATATACATTCACATATATATACACACACAGGAGTGTTTATCTGTATCGGAGAAACAGGTTAACAAGATGAGGTCAGGAGTCATTCGGATACAGGGAGCAACCCTCTGCAACACAGGCCTGAGTACCCACACTCTGACACTTTCTTACCAGTCTACTCCCATTGCCATAGTTACAATGGAAATAAAGTTGGATACAAGCAGCATGAGGCATGCCAGCAAATTTTCCATAGTTGAAAGACCTGACAGCTAGCAATGTCCCCAGCTGCACTGAAACTGCAGGACCCAGATGTGCTTTTGCATGCAAGATCCAGACAATTTCTCACAAAAATGAAGCCTAAATGACTATGTGGGCTGAAAAGAAAGTGCCATCAGATTTCTGAGCTGGCTGGACCAAGGAGACTAAAACACTCTCAGGCAGCACGCAAGTTTGCAATCAGATTTCATCATTGCTTCAGCAATCAGTATATGTAAGGATTTCTAAAGCATCTTCCCCTCTTTTAATGATAGCTTCAGGTGGAGATGGTGGCAATTTACAACACTGAGAAGGCCCCTCACCCTCCCTAAGGGATCACCTGGTCAGCAGGACTGGATTCATCACCTCAAACATTTTACTGATCACTTTCTCAACTTACTCAGTCCAAACGCTTCTCTCCCCAGCTCTGAATGTCCCTCCTCACACTCAAAGTCTCCAGTCTGCTCAAGCTGAAAAATAATACTTGGCTAGTTTTCCCGTCAAACAAGGTTTTTTTCCTCCAAAACACGTCCCCGGAATGGAATCACTCTCCAACCACAAAAGATTTAATTACATGATTGTCAACACCCTGATGGCCTACTGAGATTAGCAGCAGGTAATATTTAAGAATACCTACAGATTTCCTAATTTCTGCCCATTTCCCCTGCAGGAAGTTGTTACACATATATACCCAAAAGGCATTTGCAAGTCTATGATATGGAGCAACTGCCTAACTAGA